GAGGAGGTCTGTGCTGGTGCCAGCAGAGGCTCGAACGGCGCTGCCTGGCGTAACGGCACAGCTTTCGTCTGCGTAGAATAAACCCGCCCTAGCTCAGTCAGTCGGTCGAGAACTAATTCGTAATTAGTTAATACACAAACACAGAGTACTGCCCGCAGCTGTGGGGTTTGGAAAGCATGCAAGGCAAGTGCACTTATACCTGTTCAGAGTTTTAAATTCCTCTTGAAACACGTTTAAGCCCCCGGGGCAGCAGGCATGCTTCCCATTTCTTCCGGGTTTGGTTTTTCCCCATTTCTTTTCAAGGTCTGGAAAATTTCCATCTGCCAGGAAACAGCCAGCCTGTAAAAGGGGCGCCGTGCATATTGAACGACTGTTCAGTCGCTCACTTCATTTGCTTTAAGCACTGTATTTCCATGTCTTGTCTGCAGGAACTAGTTCTGTAGGTTAAATGTGTGCAGGTTAACAGGATCAGATGGAGCACCTCGAAACGGATTTCCATCTATAGCTGTCTGTCTTGGACTTTGGCTTGAACACCACTGCCCCCCTTTCCAATACCTCGCTCTTGTTTTGCCCGGATAGGCTTGCCCCGTGTTTGCAAACACACTGGTTAGGAAAGCACAGACTGTTACATGTCCAACTGAAAGCGTAACTATTTACATCACAGAAACCAAAGATCAGGTTCCTACTCCTGACTTGCAGGGACACCTGAAAAGCCAGCCCGTCATCCGTATTTGTACTTGCCTGGAAAAAAAGGCCTTTTGGGAATTGAATTTGATAGGGAACAAACGCATTAATTAGCTTCGGATTTGGATTGATCCTTTGATTTCATGCTGTGGATACTGGGAAACCTAAATATAGCTAACATTTCATGTTCTCCTCTCACGCTGACAGAAGTAACACCGAGCGTGGGTTTTGTTAATTGGCAGGCTTTCAATTTGGTCGTGCTGTGTTTCACAGAAGGAAGTTAACATACTTTTGTTATGAGTCAAGGGTAACAGAAAAGAAAAAGCAACTCAAGAAAGTAGATCAGTTTTTAAATACCTGTAAGTATACTGAAATAAGGATGTTTTGTTGCCGTCACCCCGCAATAAAATGGAAAATCTTAAAATTCCAAGTGGTCGGTTCCGCTCGCCTGGTGGCCTAGCCCACGTTCATCTGGTGCAACAAAGGTAATTCCCAGCGGTTGGGCCTTTTATCAAGTTGACAGTTACTCCCTAAGTGCTAAGTAAAGAAACCTTTCTTCATCTAAGAATTGCATGAAAGGTAAACCAAGAGCGGCTAAAGCAATGTGCTTTGAGCTGTGAACGACAAGTGTAACGGAGGCCTCCAGAAAGCTCCTATCACAGCCATTTTCTACTAAAGCAACCACTTACTAAGTTACCTTTGACTGCGTGTTTTTGCAAGCACCTGGATTTTGTCTAGTCATTTAAAAAAGTAGTTTTAACAAATATTTCAGATCTGCAGATGCAATTGTGATTGGCATGGGGAAAGTACAACGGCAAGGCACTCCAGAATTACAGCGTCTCTGGGGTACATGTGTTGCTCTTTGCTGCTCAATTACGTCAGACCTCCCTGCCATCTTGCCCCCGCCCTCTTTTTTTTTTTTTTTTTTTTTTAGCATTCACCATGAGCCTGCATATTTTTAATGCCTTTATTTTAGCATATAATACCTTTCACTCATAATTTTGCTCTCAGCAAACTTTGAGCAATTAAGTTACACATATCTCACTTTAAATTTAGTGTGGTTAGTTACAGCAATATGACGGTCACGTTCAAATTATTTGGTGCAACACCAATTTGCTACAAACTGCAACCCAGCCTGTGGGACTTTCATCACGTTGGGTGTTACTCTACAAAAGGTTAAATAAGCCAGTCTTTCTACATTTTTCAGCATGCTAGATGAATCATCATTAGTGAATTTTTATCTGTGATGAGCCAAGTAGTGTATTAATTTGTATTTAATTTAGTTTATCTGAGCTGGAAAAAGAGATCTGAGAAGCCAGGAGAAGATCGTGCTTGCCTGTGTTAGCCAAGGGTGCCCATTTCAGGGCTATGTGGCAGAGAACTTCAGGCCAAACAGAACAGCAGGGAGCTGCACGGGGTTTTTTGGGGAGGCTTGTGTGTGCAGTTGTGTATGTCTGTGGATACACTCTCAGTGGTCGTTCTTAGATAGCCTAAGAAAAGCACATTTCACTTCACAGGCCTGTGCTGAAAAGAATTGTGTAAGTCCTCAATAAATGTGACAGAAATAAATACCATGTGCAGATGAAAAAACTCTTTAAAACTCTTTTAGCTGACATGGAGCAGAGTCATTATCACTCTTATTTGCTCCATCACAACCTCTTCAACCTTTGAAAATTCAGGATATCATTATGCAGGTGGCCAGCAGAAATGCCCTACCTTGTTCTATCTGCAGTACTCCCCATTCGATGTGGGCTGGTCTGTGTAGGATTGTTTCTCGGTGAGTCATGCAGATCCCTCTGTAGTTTCTTCTAGGCAGTGCTGTGGTATGCGTGATTAGTGGTCTCTGAGGGTGACATTGTTTCCTGAATGATGTAACTGAAAATTCCTCTTCCTGTGCTTCTTGTTTCCTGATCAGTTTTCTCTTTGTTCTCAAAGACATTCCAGCAGCTGCACATCTTTTATTCCTGATCTTTTATTCCTACGAATCTCTGTGAAGACAAGTTATGTCAACAGCTACTTTAATTAATTTGGTACGAAACGGAGGGTATCAAGTAAGGAGGAGAGCCGTGCTGACGTCCCGCCTCTTGCAAGACGAGAAGCGTCCGACAGCTGCTTGCTACAGCTCCACCTCAGAGCGCCGTGCATCCCGCTTCGATGCAGACGGGAGCGGGCGGCCTACCACATGGGACACCTTTGGCATCTGGGACAATCGCATTGATGAACCTATTCTCCTCCCACCAAGCATAAAGTATGGAAAGCCAATTCCAAAAGTCAGCCTAGCCAATGTGGGCTGTGCTAGCCATATTGGGAAGCGTAAGGAAAATGAAGACCGGTTTGATTATGCTCAGCTGACGGAGGATGTCCTATACTTTGCAGTATATGATGGACACGGCGGGGCAGCAGCCGCAGACTTCTGTGATAAGTACATGGAAAAATATATTAAGTAAGTGTGCATTGAGTGAATGCATGTCAAATGAATTACAGTAGAGAGTCCTTCCTTAGGACTGAAAGGGAACCGGTGGGTTGTGCATCGTCACTAATCCTCCCAGGTTATCTAGCCACCGAACCCAACGGGACAGCAGGAACACCAGGCTGGAACGGGCCGTTACATCGGACATGCTATGAACTACTCACTCTGTATGGTGCCTGCCTCGATGAGCAAGCCCGCAAAGACGAGAGAGGAAAATACGATTGTACCCACCTTCCAGGAAGGGACTGGGGACACAGAGAGAGCGTGAACTGGCTGCCTTCAGATGGGGTCACTGTGATTGCCAGCCTACGGCTTGCTTACACTCTTGTGTATCTCTGTGTCACATCCCTGGGTGCTGGAAGAGGAATTTTACCTGTTTGCAAAATTACAGGATTATACTTCCAGTGCAGGCCATTAATAAAATTATACTAACTTTTCACTGAAATCCAGCATTATTCAGTGCATGAAGGGAGGAGACAAGGCTATGGAAGAGATTGATCAAGTCATATGTTTCTTGGAAAGAAGTTTAATTTTTTGTTTGCTTGTTTCTTTCCAGAGAATTTCTTGCTGAAGAGGAGAACTTGGAAAGTGTTTTGAACAAAGCTTTTCTAGAAATAAACAAAGCCTATGACAGGCATGCTCATCTGTCTGCTGATGGTAGGTAAAAAAATATTCTACTCGTATGGGTGTGGAGAATTAAGGTTCTTCTTATTTGCTCAATAGTTTTGTAGTAAAATGTCCAGAAAAATGCTTGAAAACCGTTTTACTTAACATAGGATTTTGCTCTGATCGCTTACTGCAAATGAAACAATTATGCTTACCTCCTTAAAATGAAAAAGCTATAAAAAGTCTAAATCAAATTTACTGGGGGAATTATTAACCTGAATGTTAGCATAATCATCAATGAATTTCTCTTAATGTGGTTCTGTCACGGAAAGTGTTTGTCAAGTTAACAGAGCATGATTTAAGATTTGCAAGGACCGTAACTTTACTATGTGAGAAACCTAGAGGGGGGCTTTGGTTTGGGTGTTTTGGTTGGTTTTTTTGTTGGGGTTTTTCTTTTGTTTGTTTGTTTTTCTTAAAAGCTGTCACTCCTGTGGGTTAAAAGTGACAGCGTCAAAAGTTCCCCTTTCTAACTTGGCTGCTGCACCTGAGGAGGAACACAAGCCAAAATTAATACAATTGATATTGCTTCTGCACAACAGAATCACAGGAGTAGCTGAGTGTGAAAGGGAAAAAAGCAGTGAAGAGGAAAACAAGGTTGGCTGTGGTAAGGCTGTGGTAAAGCTGGCACCAGTCCTTTTAGACTCCTTAGTCCTGGCTGCTAATCAAGTTCCTGTATATACATCTAGAGGCTAAGTACATCTGAAGTTCCAGTTCCAGCAACTAACACGAAGATCTTCATTAACATGAAGATCTGTTATATTTGTCCCCCTCCACGCCCCTTTGTTAACAGCACAGCTCTTGGTTTGGCTCATTGAAGTGACCTCTGTTAAGTGTCAGAGCAGCTCCTTGAGGAGAAGGATTGGGAACTGTACTTGGTACATTATTCTGCTATTCTGAAAACCATTTCTGATTATAGCATGAGCCTTACGGAACTGCGTAACAACAATGTTTGACATACAAGTTGCGCAGCAAGCTGAGCATTTTGGAACAGGATTTTTTACAGGATCGTTTTCATATCATTTAACTAACTGGTGCTGCTTAATGAAATATAATGCAAATGCCAGCAAATTTACATAACAGTTACCAAGATACTGGACAAAACCCTCTTCACTAAAAAAGCTGGAGGTCAAGCAAAATAGAGGGCAAAAGTGTTGTCAGACATCCACAGGGGCCACGCTGTCAAGCACTCACTGTTTCTCAGGTAGGCTGAGTGCCTGCAAGCTCTTGCAGGAGCCACTGGGATCTGAAAGCGCCCAGTGCTCTTGACTGGTTGCCCAGCTGAAAATCAAGCTGTAAGGCAGAGTGGAGTAACAGGGTGCAACAAGTGTGGACTTCTGAACAAATTAAATGTTTTGCATATCTGTTGTTAAAATAATTCAATACTATGTTGACTGCTTGGTGTGGTTATTTCTGTTGTTGCTGCTGTTTTGAAAGTTACATAAAATTTCAATGCTTGGCACATGTCCTTCTTAGAAGCCTACTTCCAAACTGATGCAGTTTGCCAGCAGAATTTCTCATTAATTGTGGCTATTCTAGAAGTGAGAGTCAAAACTGTTGCTAAAGCATCTTGAAAATGGTGGCTGGTTGTGTAACACTGTGTGTCTGGGATACGCTGGATGCTCCCCAAGACTGACCTCCTTTTGAAACCTGGCCATAGCTGACGAAGGGGAAAATAATAGCTTAGTCTTGTTCCAGTAGATGACCCTGCCAGGGTTCACTCCTTTCCCTGTATCTACAAAAAAAAACCCCAGTGCGTGTTCAGGATGTCTAGGTCTTTACTAACACATGACCAGCTTTGAAAGCGTGTGCCTGGGTGTTTGAAGGAACATAAGTCCTGGGACAAATCCCTGTAGCCAAAATGGCATGGATTTTGTTTGACACATGGTTTATAGTACTGTTTAAGGGCTAAAAACCTCATATGATGGCACAAATTTAACAGGACTAGAGATGTGCCTCATTGGAGAACCTAGCTATGTCTTCAACAGCACGGCCCTTTGTAGGTCACTTTACCATTATAGAATATTTGAAACTATAGATGCAAAATACATAGCATAATAGTTCCTGTGAGCTTTCAATAAAACCCAAAAAAGTCTAAGTATGTATTCTAGGTACTGCTACTGCGTCTGGCATGCAGTTCACTAGTGCTCTTGGAGTGCTGTACTGGCCCACCGGAGGCTGGTCCAGTATCCCCGCTGACAGTGATCTGTACCTGTTGTTTCACACAAAAGCATAAGAAGCTGGGATAATCTGTCCTCCACCTAAATCCTTTCTGCTCGTTAGCAGCTTAGAGATATGCCTGAGCCCTGAAGCATGGTGTTTGCTATCTCTTCAAAAATACATTTTCATTCACTTCCATGCATTTAAATATATCCAGTCGCTTTTAAATCACTGCAAAACTTAGGTATAGGACACAGTAAAAGAAGTTCATGTCCAACAAATCTGTCATTATCCACGAGACAACTGTTAACACAGAATGACAGGATTTTCTGATATTTTTGACCAGCCATAAAAACTGAAATATAAAGGCTGAATAGCTTTGCTCAGCAAGGACAGAAATACGGAAGCAAATCATGTGCTTGAGGAAATTTGAACTTCTCTCTGGAGAAATGTAAGACAAACCCTCTCCTAGCCTACTGCTGTCCCACAAAGTACTGCTACTGCCTCTGTTCACTGCGATCCACTACTCAGAGAAAACAACAGGGAGGCTTTCCATCGACCCTCATGTTCACTGCATCCAACTAATCACATCAGCCACTCACTTCTGGAATAGCCATCTTATTAAAGCATAGCCAGGTATTAACTACTGTATCTATGTTTGAAAGGCACTCCTGGAATCTTATTATGCTGAGCAAACAGCAGAAGTTATTTAAAAATAACTAAACTTAAAAAGTAGTGGGTTTGGGTTTTTTTAAGTTACCATTCAAAGATATGATTTTTATTTCTTTGAATATGTTAACCTGCAACACTGAGGAAAAGGGAGAGCTGCAGAAATTGTACTTAAATATTCCGTAAATCCATCAATGTTACAAAGGCAGCCTTTTTATCAAAGGGCTCTGATTATTACCTAAACAAGTTAGAAAATACTAATTACACTATTAAAGGGATGTGTATCTTGCATATTTTCCCATGGGTCATAACGATTCATATAGTTCTATTCTGTGCCTTTAAGATAGCCCCATTTTACTTGGCACCAGTTTGAACTCCCCATTTTTGTGTTATATACAAATACATATATAAAAAATAAATAAATTACCTTGAGGAAACAGATTGGGCCATATTCTGTACCAAAGATGTTCTTCAGAGTGGTCACTCTTGCCATATATGAGACAGCTGGCCTGCTAGCATTGATACAATTCTTTGGTTAATTTGTTGGTTGGCTACTTACCTCTACCACAGTAGCTTTTTTTGGTTTTTGGGCTGAATTTAAACTGGTTTTGTCACACAGTTTCAGCAAGAAGGTGAGAATGGTGGCAATTCCCAGAAATACCAATTTATCTGTGGCCAAAGATGTACATGTAAGCCTCAAGTACTTCTATATGACCTGCAGAGGACAGTGCAGGCAAACCCAAAAGTGACCACTTCCCCTGTTCTGCAGCCCTTATTCTTTCATCTCCAGTGTTGCAGGTTTATTTTGTTTGAACAAAGTCCCTGGGTGAATTTCCTATTTGCCTCTGTGTGCGTGTTATTTATGGCAGACACTGTACCTGGTCAGCAGCTCTAGAACTGGAGGCCCTGGACACTATATGCTGGGCTTCAGTGGAAAGAGAGATCTGCTTAATTTTGTCCCAGGTGAAGGAGTCCGGCGGTTCCTAGCCTGGACTACTGGAAGGTTTCCACATCCTCTTTGTCACATTAGTTGAGATGACTTGCAGTAAAAGTTGTCCAGTGAGTGTTAAGAACCTATTGAAAGATCTTAGTTTTATAGTGATATCATTAGGAAAACAAAATAAACTCTTTAATTGTTAAAACCAATATATATGCTGATGCACCGTATTTTGATATTATTAAATAACCTAGCAGCAGTTGTAGTAAAGCATTAGAAACGTTATCCCATCATCATTCCCGTGTTTTGGAGCTGCGCTAGAGATCCCATAATCCATGTAGTTTAGCTATAGCCATGTTCTTGCACCCCTACCCAGGTCATGAACTGGTTCCAAGGAAGAGAGCGTGAGCAGCATTTCTTTTTCTAGTTGTGCTATTTCACTAATAAACGTTACAAAGTTCAAGTCACTATGACCATGACCACAATTCTGGTCAGTATCTTGACTCGTTCTTTAGTACCATCCCTTGATTTTGTGAGAGCAGCTCTTCTGGCTTTGAGAGTTTGCACTTGAAAGATGCAGATTCACCTGAATGTCCAAATGTTTCCAGTCATTTATGAATTAAAGACAACAGATCTTAACTTTTTCAGAAACTGCTTGTGTTTGTCAGCATAGTTCCAAAACCAAGGAATGAAATGGGAGAGTAGTGGCAGCTCTGCATTAATTTTAACGTCTAAATAAAATGTACTTTCTGTGAAATGAAAAGGTAGTTTTACATAGGTTCTTCATTTCACTTTTTTTTAACTGTTGGCTAAAACAGGTATTTTACTGGTTCTACTAAAATTTCTAATCGCACTGGTACTTGCTAGCATCTTACTTTCATAATGTGCCACAAAGTGAGCCTGTGCTGGGCTAGTTCTTGCTTCAAATTAGAAACAGGTTGTCAGCGCTTACCTGAATAGTCAGAAGCTACTGGCATCTCAGTAGTTTTGAATATCGTAGCCTGCATGGCAGCCATTACGTAGTCCAAGATTTGACCTGGGTCACCATGGTTGATGTTCACGACTGACGTGTTGGTTTAGCTATACGCTTAAACAAGTCCTCACTGCAGTAATAATACCTGTTTTAAATAACAACATAAGCTTAGTTTAGAGTGTTTTGTGAGGGTTTGGGGATTCATCAACTCACTGCTTTTGCTGCACAACAAGGCTCAATGCATCTTCCAGGGCTTTGTGCGCTTCAATTTACTTCCAATCCTGTTTCACTTCCGGGCTGCAGAGACCTCACGGGGTTGGGGAAGGAGGTCGCCAAGATCCCAGAGCGCTGGCCTTTCTGGTTCCGTGGTACACGGAGAGCCGGGCTGCGTGTATGCAGCTTGCTGGCAGCGGGTCAGGGATGGGGCTGGCCGGCATTTCTCCAGCTCAAACGTGCAGTCCTGTCTCAGATCCATCCACCTCCCTGGGGTCAGTGCTGCAGGGCCAGAGGTAGGAGTGCATGTAGCTCTAGCTGAGCTCTGCAGAAGTGGTGGCGGAAAGGTCTTTTAACCATTAGTCACGTGAAAACAGGAATATAACTGGGGATTCTCATTCCTAAGTTAGCTCCAACCCCCTCTCAAACTGTCTTGCTTTTAAAACCTGGAAAAACTGGAAAGTCACAGAATGCAGGAGACCTACAGAGGGCTTTTCAAGGGGATTTGCATTAGCTGTGAATGCAAATGGATTCTGGGCACTAGCTTGGCCTGGCCAGACCTTTTACTGTAATAGCTCAAGTCAGCAGGAGTTACTGCTTTCCAGGCACTTCTCCCTGGGTTGTCTTTACATAATTTGCAGCAAGGGAAGATGCTAATTGTAAAATGGGACTGCTCCTTTCAAAAAGCAAACAAAAGAGGAAAACTGGACCGTTCTTCTGGCATTTCCTTCACTGTAGATAAAACCGCAGATCTTTTCTGAAATAGGCAGACTCGCAGTTCTCCTTTTCAAGCGCTGCTTTTTTTCTAGAGCGTTGTAGAAATTAAAGGAGAAGCCCTTAAATTTACTTGCAGCAGTTAGTCCAGCCAGGTCCCTGACCACGGCCAGTCGGCTCAGCTCACTCCCTTACCCTGTAAGAGAAGGCAGGCAGCAGCGAGGGCTCCGTTTTGCCCTCCAGGCAGCCACTGCCACCCCTGCCAAGTGACCTCACCTGTGCCCAGGGCAGACTGCCCAGAGAGCCACTGCCAGCTGACTGCATCCATTTGCAGGCACAAGGCAGGGCAGAATCCAGCTTCACCTTTGCGCTGGGACCTCCAGCAAGTTGACAGGGTCTGAGGGGAGCTGCCTCCCTTTCTGAAAAAAGCCAGCAGCCTGCTGGCTGAACCCTTCGTCTCTTGGCAAGGCTGGGGGAAGCAGAGGGAGACTTTAACAACTCTGACACCAACGGGAGGACCCCACAGAGAGGGGCAAAGGAGCAATCTAGTGTTTCTCTTCTGGTGAACTACATGGAGCTACAAGTACGATTAGTCAATTACCCACTTCACCACCTAACAGAAGGGAAGAGCCATCAGCTTTATGGTGGGGTACCCATGCAGTCACTGTGCCCAGGGATAAGGATGATAACCCTGTAACTTGAGGTGAGCTAGGTGGGACAGAAAAACTATCTGTTACAGGCTGAAAGGAAGCCACTGTACCTTCTACCACTTTTATTCCACTTGCCCTCTTTGCATAGAGCCATGTTGTTGCACAGAAACACTTACTCTTTCCACGTCCTCTCTCTCCCCCTCTCTCCTCCATGCATGCAAGTTAGCTATATTTTTTTTTTTTAATACGTAGATTTAGTTTAAACTTAAAAGCAGTTACTTACTGGTAATGTAGAGCACAAATTATCTTCATTTTACCAATTGAAACTGTTGCTGTTGTAAATGGTCCCATGCTTTGAGGCAGTGCTAAAACCTCTCTCTTTGATATGACGTTTATAGCAACTCTGATGAACTCTGGGACCACTGCAACAGTGGCTCTGCTCCGGGACGGTATTGAACTGGTTGTGGCAAGTGTGGGAGACAGTCGTGCTCTGCTGTGTCGAAAGGGAAAGGCAATGAAACTCACCATTGACCATACTCCAGAAAGAAAGGAGGAGAAGGAAAGGTACCTGTCGGCATATGATGTGGCTTCCCAGGGAATGGCCTCGGTCAGGATGTGCTTGTGTTCTGCTGCTGGGTTGGGCCTGGAAGAAAGCGGAGAGTTGAACATAAGGCCCCAAGACCACCCCTGAGCTGGCAGAAAGCGGCACGGCTCCAGTTAATGCATTTGGTTCCATTTAGAGGACTGGGGACATGGAAAGCCCTGCGTGAGCGTAAACGTCTCAGCAGTAAGGTCAGCATAGCTAGGACGCAGTACAGAGCCATGACCACATGGTTCAGCCTTGTCCAAGACTGCCAAGTTAGAGCCAAGACCTGAAGAAATTCACTGTGGTTCCCGGGTCAGCACTCAGCCCGCCAAGCCACATCCCTTCTGTGGAGCCCTTCAAACAGCAAAAGCCAACCCTCAGTCTGCCAGCTTAGGTCCTCCGTACCCCATTCCATATCAGTGGCTAGCGACAGAAATTGCAGATAGAGACAGGGGTAATGGTGTGAAGCAGTAACTCATACTCACTTTTTCTTTTGTGCCTCTGGACAGGATTAGGAAGTGCGGTGGCTTCGTTGCCTGGAACAGTTTGGGACAACCTCATGTGAATGGTAGACTTGCAATGACACGGAGCATAGGAGATTTGGATCTTAAAAACAGTGGTGTGATAGCCGAGCCAGAAACAAAAAGGGTTCAGGTAAAAGAAGGCCTGGTTAACAGGGACAGCGACATTCGGACTAAGGGGCATCATAGGCATTTGGTGCAGGTGGCGGTACCCACATGATGTGCCCACGGGAGCCTGATGGCCAAACACTGTTGTTTTGTTTTTGTTTTTTTTTCTTGTGGTGAAGTAACCAGAGACCAATTCTAATTAACTCATTTCAGTTTAACACTAAAACAGGACAGAAAAAAATCTGGCCCTGATACTAAACCAGATCAACTTCTAAGTCCCATCTGTCATAGTACAATATAGGATGAGGGAAGAAAGATAACAATGATAGCCATTACTGAAATGCAAAGGTGTCAGTCTGTTTGGGGCTTGCGGCCAAATGAATAATTGTGAGGTTAACACTGATATAAAACCACCACTGAGAACTAGGTGGGATAGGGATGGGCTGTCATCAAAAAAAGTCGACTACGTAGAGGCTTGCACACTTGGGCAGAAGGGAGGAGGAAAGGGCAGCTGCATGCATCTTACCATAGCTCTGTAGTTGTCCAGAAAACAAATTAACCACCCAGAAGGTATTCGGCACAGTTGCCTTCACTTTTGCAGGCAGGCTCTGCTCTCAGCTCAGACTCTGTCTGATACTTTTCCCCAATGCACCTCCCAGGGCCTGGGGAACTTATATTTCAGTTGGTCCTAATTAAACACCACCCACTAGGTCCAAGGGGTTTAGGGAGATGACCACAGTGCTATCACGTCTTCCTTGAAATCCTCAGTTTAAGGAAGCATTTTGTGCACTGGGTAATGTATGGATCTGGTCTTTTGGCCTTCGTGTCTTCAGAGGGCTGCTTCCTAGAACTGGAAGCACCTCTTACGCTCTCCTCCAGTACAGGGGACACAGCCTATATGGCTGATGGATGTGCTCAAGGGTTCAAGAGGCAGCCTTTGGCTAACCGAGGGTTTGGGGTTCCAGTTAGTCCTTGCACAGAAAGCAGGACAGCACGCAGCACCTGCAGAAAAAGCAGTTCCTTTGCCTTGCAGCACTTGCCCCATCGTTGTGCATACTCTCTGCCTTTATTGCAGCTGCATCATGCAGATGACAGCTTCCTGGTCCTTACTACAGACGGTATCAACTTCATGGTGAACAGTCAGGAGATCTGCGACTTCATTAACCAGTGCCATGATGCTGCTGTATCT